ACTTTATTCGAACTAGGCTTAGTCCTCGTGGAATGAGGTTTACCTAGTTCGAATTAAGCGCTCCGCTAGTTTGAATTAAGTTCCAACTAGCAGTTTGCCTGTGTAGCGCCTATCAAAGTTAATTCGAACTAACGTTTGTTAGTTCGAATTAACTTTGCAGTGTAGATATACTCTGTGTTAGTTAGTTTTCTGTCTGGAAGCAGCCTAGGCAACGGGCTGGGATTTAAGGGCCCAGGCTCCCCCATCTCAAGAGGAGCTGAGGGGCGCTGCTAGCATCCTCTGCAGGGTCATTCTCCACAGCTTCTGCCCTGCCCCAGACAAGACCTGCCCTCCGAGCGACAGGCTGGACACGGAGTCGCTCCAAAGCTCTCTGCCCCACCTGCACACTAAAGAAAAGACCCTCCATTTTATGGCCGGGGTCCCTACCACTTCTCAAGAAGGTCCACGCTAGCATCTGGACCAAATGGAGGCTTGAAGGCCGCAGTACGGTAGTCTCTTAAAATAATTGCAAAGGTTAAACCAAAGCGAACCACAGCAAGCATCACTGGACAATCGTCTCGCTTTTCAGGCAGGGAGGACATTTTACTGACTGGTTCTCTTGATATCAAATTTGCCCTCTCGATTTCATTCATGAATATCAACAAACTCTGCTGTTTCTCACTGATGCCTCCGGGCAGGGATCTGGAGATGCAGGGAGGTAGAAGGGAGACATGTGGGCCTCACAAGCAATCACACCACCGTTCCCCGCGAGCTGAGAGCAGACCGAGGAGCAATACGCTCAAGAGGCAGTGGGGGAGGCCTAGGTAGGATATTAGGACAAACAATTTCCCTAGGCAGGTGGGGAAGCCCTGGGCTGGGTTCCCTAGGGAGGGGGTGGAATTTCCATCCCTAGAGGTTTTTACGTCCCAGCTTGACAAAGCCCTGGCCAAGTTGATATAGTTGGGGTTGGTCCTGCCTTGGGCAGGGGCCTGGACTCAGTGACCAACTGAGGTCTCTGCCAGCCCTCGGATTCCATGGGGGTGGATATGTGGCAGGTGGGGGCCTTGTGAAGATGCCCTCTTCTTGACTCCGGTGCTTGCCTGCGCCCTGTTTTCGGCGCGTTCTCCCCTCTGCACAAAGTCCCCAGCAACCTACAAAAGCTGCAGCGTGACTATAAAAGCCCAGGCCG